TTCGAAGCGTTTCGGGAGCAGCTTTGGAGCTTTGGGGCCTCATTTGGGCCTCTTGGGGGCCTCTCGGGGCTTCCAGGGGGCCTCTTGGGCGCTTGTTGAGGCCTCTTGGGGGTTTCTTTTTGTTCTCCCCCCTCCGCTCTGCAGCAATGCTCATGTCACCTGAGTCTGTCTCTGTATGTCGCAAGTTTGCACGAGCGTACCCGGGGCAACGCAGATCGCAACATGTGGAGGACACACATGATGAACGGTCTACAAGTTCAACAGGCGTAGCGTCGAACTCGGCCTCAAAACTCACTAGTTGTTGATCATAATGTAAAGCGCAAGGGCATTCACGGCGCCGTCCTCGACGTCCGCCTCTGGCTTCCGGGCCTTCGCGTCGGGAGCGCCGACGCAGCACTCGTAGACGCAGGCGAACGTCAGGAGGACGACCCCGAGGCAAAACCAGAGCCAGCACAGGTCGATGTACCACTCCTACGCGAACCAATTCAGGAAGACGGGAAAGAAGGTGAACACGCCCGCGGCGAGAATTACAAATATGCCCAACAAGATGCCAGACATGCCATAGTCGCAGTGGCAGTTGATGGGGCACGCCACGCTCGCCTCAGGCGGCCGCGTCCAGTGCCGAAGCGCGCGGGGAGCACGAACCCAAAAGTCGAAGCTGTCGAGCCACGATTGAGCCAAAATGGCTTGAGCCAAAATGGCTACGGAGGCTTCTCGGGGGCTTCTTGGGGCCTTTTGCGGGCCTTTTAGGGCGGGAAGCTGAATTTTCAGTTCGTGGTCCCTCTCTTGGGCCTCTCTTGGGCCGTCTTGGGCCTCTCTTGGGCCGTCCTAGGGGCCTCTTGGGCGGTCTTGGGGCAATCTTGGAAGCCTCTGCTATGGCCGTTGCACATCTCCAGGGGTCGTCTTGGAGCCGTCTTGGTGCCCTCACGGAACCATCTCGGAGCCTCCTGGGAGCCTCTTTGTGCCCCAAGGGAGCTTAAAGGAACCCAAGAGCGTTCGAAGAGGGCCTCAAATAGGGTGCGCAATTGCGCACCGTCAGACGTCTTCTCGGTACGAATGCACCCCTGTGCCTGTATACACATCCAGCATGTACATCGCTGTGCCTGCGTACACCACAAAGCCCGTGTACACCTCCAGGGCACGGCCCCATACCCCCGTTGCCTGCGCGGACAACAGTAATTATCTTTGCGCACGACAATGCTGGACACCACCGCGCCTGTGTGCACCACAATTGCCGCCGCAGCCGGCGTGTGCGCTACGCACGCCGAACAGCTCGTTGTTTCCACTGCTGGGTGTGCCGCCGCGCCTGCGCGGGTGCCACATCAGCCTGCGCGCGCCGCGCGCCTCTACATACCACAAGCACATGCCTGCGCACGCTGCAAACACGTTGCGCGCGCACTACGCACAGCATACCTGTGCGCTAAACAACACGCGCTGCTGCAACGGGGGTGGGTGGGGCGGCGGGCGTTATGTTATCTACTGGGTGGGTGGGTGGGTTGGAGGCCACATAACGCGCGTTATGTGTTCGAGTATAAAAACTTGATCTCTTGCTCCCCCAACAACCACAAAGTCCTGATCGCGTCCCCTGGGGCCAGCCAGCTCTTCACCCCTCTCCACACCTCCGCCGTCGTGCTGGCCGGCCACGGGCCCCGTGGTGGGAGCGAGGGCCCCTCGAGGCCGGCGGGCGAGGAACGACCTCCGCCTCTCAGCATCCGTCGACACGCCTTTGGGAGGGGGCCCAAGGAATAGACACCTCGACTCCTCCTCCTCGACTTCCTGGGAGTATACACCACCACCACCACGTCGACTCCTCCTCCTCCCTTCTCTGCCCTCCTCCTCTTCCCCTCCTCCTCCCCGGGAGGAGGGACGGGGCGGGCCTCCCCCAAAACCCTGGGCCCCTCTCGACCTCTACCTTCCGAACCTTCCGCGCAGCAGGTGCCGCCGCGGCGCGGCCGCGGCGACCGCCGAGACCGCCGCTGCGGAAGGAGGAGGAGGAGGAGGAGGAGGAGGAGGAGGAGGAGGAGGAGAATGTCATGAGTGTCATGATCGCCACAGTCACAGTGGCAAGGAGGAGGAGGAGGAGGAGGAAGGAGGAGGAGGAGGAGAATGTCATGAGTGTCATGATCGCCACAGTCACAGTGGCAAGGAGGAGGAGGAGGAGGCGGAGGAGGAGGAGGAGGAGGAGGAGGAGGAGGAGGAGGGTGCAAGTTGTTGGGCCCCCCACGCTGGAGAAACTCGTGCCTGGCTCTCTCGCCGGCCACGGTCGTGACCCATATGGGGGGTCGGGGCCCGGGCGCCCGGGCTGCGTGGGGCGAAGCAAGGCAGGGTTGCGCGCTGCGATCGCCGGTCGGGAGCGGCCAAGAGGGGGGTGTCCAAGCGGGGGGGGTGCAAATCATGACCGGCGGCACGTGCGCGGCCCAGCGGGGGGGCCTGGGACGTAATGAAATAAGAAGAGGCGCCCTGAAATCTGGGGAAAAATCATGGCCCGCGCCATGAAATCCCCCCCACCCCCTAGTCATCACCCCCTTCTCTTTTTCGCTCCCGAGCCAGGATCGGCGATCTTCTGACCCGGGTCAATCCAGACCCGGGTCGGCCAGGCCCGGCAAAGTCCTGCAAGATCCTGCACCCAAGCCCGGATCCATGCGAAGGGTCCTGCAGGATCCTGCGCCCAAGCCCGGGTCAGTGCCGCCCTGGCCCAGCAGGATCCCGCAAGATCGGGCGCTCTGGCTGACCCCCGTTTGCGTTGACCCCGGTCTCAAGGCTCCCGACAGAATGTGGGCGCGAGCGCCGGCGTGTTGGGGGTCAGAGGTCGAAGCCACCCCGCGCGTACGATCGCAGCGGTTACCCAGGGGGGGGGGGCGGGCAACGACCGTCACGCGCAAGAGGAAACACCAGCACGACATCAGGAGAACAAAAAAAACGCTATGAACATCAAACTTTTGGCGCTCCGCGCGGATTTTCTGGATCTGCACTGGACTCCCCTCCCTGGCGCGCGGAGCCCTCCCTGGCGCGCGGAGCGCGCCAGGGACGGCGCTGGAGGCGCCGCCGGGGGGGGGCCCAGCGCGGATCCGAAAAATCCGCGCGGAGCGGAAACAGTTTGTGTGTTGTGGCGTTCCTTCGGCTAGACGTAAGAGTGACCCTGGGCAAGAGTGACCTTTGGTCCGCAGCTTTTGGGGGCGCGAGGGAGCCAAACCCAAGGGCGCGGGCCGCCTGTCGCGCATCGCGCTCGGCGATCGGGGGGAGCCCGATGAGCCCGCACCAAAGGCCACTCCGGCGAAGGGTCACTCTTACGTGTAGTCGATTCCTTCTGCTTCGAACCAGAGCAAGCCGCTGCGCGAGCGCAGCCCGGGCCAGACCGGACCACCGCAGAGAGGGCGCAAGAGCAGCCGGGCCCGTCGGCCAGCGAAGCGGCGTGCCCGCGCGTGCCCCTGGGATCCTCGCGCCCTTACGCTCCTCGCCGCGGCCTCGCACTCCCATGTGCAACTAGGACTCGTCAGTTCTACAGTGGGAGCGTTGACCTAAGGAACCCTAAATAAGGAACGAGGCCCCTGCTTTCCCATAAATTGAACTTCGATTTCCCATGGAACACCTCAGGAAAACCTGAGGCAAATAGATCAACAATCCAGGAACACCGAGCCCCTCCCCAACGAGAAGGGTTCCTTCTTCAGCGCCCCGACTGTACAACCCTTTAGATTGCACTTGGAGTCGCCAGATTGGCTACGTGCACCGAAGAAATGACGCCACGAGCACGCGAGGACCATGCTGAGCAGCTCAGCATCGAATCGAGTAATCGGCTCGGATCGGATCCGAACACGCGTCGGCTCGGGCCGCACCGTCACAGCGAATCGAATCGGCCGCGCAAAGATGCACGTCAGCGGCGTGCAGAAATCGGGGAACACCTGCTGCCCAGATCGTCGGAATCTCGGAATCGAACCGAATCGAGGCCGAGAGGGATATCGAGTCAGACTGATCGGATCGGCAGGGGCCCTGCAGTCGCCGCGGTGCCGGCCCACCGCGCGCGCCCGCGCACCAACCCGCCAGACCTGACCGGCGGAGGCAGCAGGGGTCGATAGCCCCGGGGCGGTCAATGCACGCACCCTTAGGTCGGGCATGTCCTCCTACAGGCGGCTTTGTGAAAGAAACATCAGCAACAAACAGTCGAGAGAACACGACAAAGCGTCACCAGACTGTTCGTGCTACAGTCTTTGAATACTCATCCTGCAGAGGGATATGCCCGACTTGAAAGCATCCGCCAAGAGCCCAACCGAAGACGTGGGACGATCGGAGCCCCCCTGGATGCACATCATGCCCCCCCTGGGCGCCCCGTCTCTGTTGCAGGCCGCTGTTGGGCAAGCGACTCGTTGTCTCAAATTTGAAGGGGCCCTGGGGCACACAAATAAATGCACACAAATAAAAGAACTCCTCATATTTTCCCATATTTTCTGGGTTTCCGTCTTCCCCCCCCCCACTGCCAATATTTTCCTATATTTTCCTGGGAATCGACGATAAATTTTGTCTGTGTGTTTTTTCTCCTCCTGAAACATTGGCCACCGCCTGGACAAGCTCGTTGCTGCTCTTATAGACTGTCCGAGGAGATGGTGTCGGAGGATCGCGCCGCATCGCCGGTGCATCGCCGACACATCGGCGATGCATCGGCGCCCTCGGCGAGGAGAAAATCAGGTCCGTGCCCACGTCGGGCCCCCCGCCCGGCGCGCCCCCGCCGCCCCAGCGCGCGCGGGGGAGGCCTGGAGAAAAGCAGCGAGCACCCAGGAGCACCCGGGAGCCTCGAGGAGCGAGGAGCACCGAGGGGCAGCGAGGAGCGAGGAGGAGCGAAGAGCAGCGAGGAGCCCCGAGGAGCCTCGAGGAGGAGCACCGGGGAGGAGCACCGGGGAGCCTCGAGGAGAGCACCGAGGAGCACCGAGGAGCACCGAGGAGGGGCCTCTCGAGGAGGCACTGCGGCGCGCGCGCGCAAGGGCGGCTCGGAGGGCGGCGCGGGCGACCGGCGGAACTCGGCCGACAGCGTGTCGGGCATGGGCGGGTACTGGCCTCTCCGGGCGGGCGGGAGCGCCGGCGGCGAGCGAGGGGGAGGAGGAGAAGGAACGAGGAATGAGGAATGAGGAATGAGGAGGAGGAGGAGGAGGAGGAATGAGGAATGATAATGATGATGATGATGATGATGATGATGATGATGATGATGATGAGGAGGAGGAGGAGGAGGAGGAGGAGGAGGAGGAGGAGGAGCTAGCTTTGCAGCGCGAGTGCTCAACACGCGCTGCAAAACTAGCGCCCTCGTAAGTGTCCTGCCGTCCTCCTCCTCGCGTCCTCCTCCTCCCCCCCCCAATTTTCCCACTCCCTGTCCCCTTGCTCATCGGTGCTCGGTGCTGGAGGCAGTATCGAGGGCTCCCTCTCCGTCCTCCCTGTCCCTCCTAACTCTCTCCTTCCCTCCCTCCCTCTCTCTCCTCCCTCCCCTCCCTCCCTCCATGTCTCCCTCCCCCTCTCTCCCTCCCCCCTCCCCGTTCTTGTGGTCGCCGTGGCCGTATAGCTGCCCTAGCTCCCCCCTCACGCTGCACCTGCACCTGCCTGTGCTTTTGCCATCGCTCGGACGTCCATTCCCTGCGTGTTTGTTCGGTTTCGTGCGTGGTTGTTTCGCCAAATGATCAAGGATGCTCCTCGATGGTCCTCGCCGAAGGAAAAATGCACACGTCCCAGCGATGCCAAGGTGCTGCCTCGAGGGGCGCCGCCGAGGCAAGGCCTGCGCACCTCTGGCCGCGGCGCGAGCCTCGACCACGAGCAGGCAGGCCCGCCGAGCCGCCGCCCGAGGAGCGGCCCGAGACTCGCCGCGGGCCCGCCCGAGCCCCTAGAACGGCCCCTGCCCCCTTCGCCGCCCCGCCTGTGCGCGAGACTTGGCGCCTGCGCGCCGCAGCTCTACGCCACCGGTCCTCCCCTCGCTTGAGCAGGGACCGACCGCCCCGGCAGTCTTATAGTCCTAGCACGAAATGTTCGTAGAGCCCAACAATGTTCCAATAACAAAAACCAATGTTCTTAGAACATAGACCCGATGTGATAAAAACAAGACACGCCAAGCCAGAAATGTTCTAAGAACACTTCGTGGGAACCGCAAAAAGTTCTTAGAACATTGTTTGGTGGGGCTATAGGCGAGCCGGGACGCTTCGCCACTGCTTGACTCGCGCCCTCGCGCCCGCCGCCCCCCCCCCCCCAGGGAAGGTCAGCTCCCCGGCCGGGGCCGCGAGGTTCGAGAGGCGCGGCCATCCTCGCGTCCCCGCGGGGTGGCCTGGGGATGGGAGGGGCAGGGGGGCCCGGAATCGAACAGAGGAGTCGGAGCGGCGATCGAAATGGGTCGGATCGGCGGACAGGACATCGGCAGCCGAGCCGGGAGAAGTCGGATCGGCGGAGATCGGCAGGGCAGGCCAGTAGGCATCCGCTGCGACATCGGAGCACGAAGCGGAGTCCGAAGCCGAGGCAGAATCGAATCGGCATCGGAAGCCATCGGAAGCCATCGAAGTCGATCGGATCGGAGAGTCGTCGGGGGGTTCGCGCGAGTGCTCGGTCGAGCGCGCCCCACATTTGAATGTCCTGCCCGCCCGACCCGACCCGCCCGTTAGGGTCCGCCCTGCCCGACCCGACCTGACCCGCCCGTCAGGGTCCGCACGCCCTACCCGAACCGACCGGCCCACTACGGTCCGCCCGCCCGACCCGACCCGCCCGTTAGGGCTGGCCTCGGCGAAACCAGCTGGGCGAAACCAGCTGGGCGAAACCAGCCGCCGGCGAAACCGGCCTTCGGCGAAACCAGCGGGGCGAAGCCAGCGCCGGTGAAGCCAGCCGCCGGCGAAACCAGCTGGGCGAAACCAGCGCCGCCGAAACCAGCTGGGCGAAACAAGCGCCGCCGAAACCAGCCTTCGGCGACACCAGCGGGGCGAAGCCAGCGCCGGTGAAGCCAGCGCCGGCGAAACCAGCTCCTGCCTCCAAGTCCCGCGCTCCCTCGAAGGGGGATGGGGGGGGGGGCTGCTCTGTCTGGAGGTCGTCTCTGGCTGCTCACTGCCTCCTCCTGCTCCGTCTTCTGTCCTCAGTCCTCCGTCGTCGCTCCTCCCGCTCCTCCTCCCCCTCCTCCTCCTCCTCCTCCGCCCCACCTCCTCCTCCTCCTCCTCCTCCTCCTCCTCCTCCTCCTCCTCTGTCCTCCCCCGTCCTCGCTCCCCCTCCTCCGTCCTCGCTCCTCCTCCTCCGTCCTCCCCCTTGCTCCTCGTGCTCGTGCCCCCTCTCTCCCGACACACGCCGCACGGGCGAGTCCCGGCGAGGGGGCATTGCAACCTGCACTGAAGGGCGAACAAAAGCGCAGCACCCAAGAGGCACTACGATTATGTTGCTCCCATCGCACTTAAGGACCACATCCCATAACTAAGTGTCGAAGCAATGTCGAAACAGCGTCGGACGAGTGTCTCCCTGGGCCCGCCACGTGAAAACCCGCGAGCTTCGGTACTTTCCTGGTGCTCGAAACCCTTTTCTGGTGGTCAAGGTTAAAGTAGGTTTGCAAAATCGTAACACCATTACCAGCCTCGAACGTATCCCTATCCCTAAGATTGACACGCCAAAAGGCGATGACAATCTTAGGGATTCGCCCTTCAAAAAGAGGGGAATCCCTAAGATTGGCATCATAATGAGGAGGTGCCCAGCATAGGGATAATTAGGGATATGTTCCAGGCTGATAACACCACGAGGGAGAGCGAGGGAGAAACGCGCAGCACCCGCCAGGCACCACGAGAGGAGCAAGAGACGAGGCGGGGGGCGGCGGGGCGCAGCCGAGGCACCCAAAAGGTCTCGCGCGGAGAGGGCGGCGCGGACAGGGCGAGGCGGCATGCGGGGGTGCGCGTGCGGAGTCACGCGGCACCCAAACGACACGACGAGGAGCCAGCGACGAGGCGGAGGGGGGGCGAAGCCGAGCCCCAGAGTCCGTTGCGCAGAGAAGACGGCGCGGAACGTGCGAGGCAGGATGCGGGGGTGTGGAATCACGCGGCACCCCAAACGACACTACGAGGAACAAGCAACGTGCGGATCAGGATGCGGGGATGTGGAGCAACCGTGGGGCATGTCGCTCCCTAGCCTCATCATTTGCAGTGATGCGGCCAGACCGCCACGCCATGCCACGAGAGGTCCTCTTTAGCACAGAACCGCTGCGTTTTGACACACGGAACCGTGCTCTCCGATTGTGGTCCAGTGGGGTCTCGGTCCAAATCCCACCAGCCGTCATGGCGTACGCGGTGTGGGGAATTCGCTTCACGCGCCACTCTGAGGGGGCCCCAGGACACACAAATAAGTACACACAAGTAAAAATAGTCCCCTATATGTTTCCATATTTTCTGGGTTTCTGCCTTCCCCCCCACTTCCCATATTTTCCCATACTTTCTGGGGAATCGAGGAGTCATTGTGTCTGTGTGTCGTTTCCTCTCCTGACACTCTTCCTATTTGGGGAGAGGTTTGCCCCCCCCCTCCCCAGGCCTGCAGCCCTCCCCCCCCGAGGGGGTAGAGAGCTCCCAGGATGTCCAAGATGTCCCAGGAGCGATCCAGTATGGCCCCAGATGGCCCAAGGTGACCTCCAAGACGACACAAGATGGTCCAAGATGGTTCAAAATAGCCTGCACCATGCCTCCAAAAAGGCCCCAAGACCGTCCCAAGACGGCTCCAAGTGGCCACGAAACATCTCAGAAACAGCCCAAACAAAAACACAGTTCCTTCCCAAACCGTGCGAACGTCGGTGTGGTTTGCCTTCTCGCCTTTTCGCTTCCGATAGGCTTCTGACGCCGCACGACGGCTCCAAGAGGGCCCCAAGAGCGCCACAAGAGGAATATCTTCGGTTTCCAATGGGGGAACCAGAATTAGTGACCCCCCCCCTCGAAGATGGCAACAAGGGGCCTCCCCAAGGCCCCATGATGATCCCAAGAAAGCGCCAAAGGTGTCCAAAATTGTCCCCAGAGCGTTCCAAGATGGCCCAGGCAAACTGCCAATAAACTTCCGTACCGGATGATCCGCGAAGGCATTTGTGTTTGACTCACCGGTATGCTTAGGCTGACCCCGAACTTGAGTCTGACGGTTGTACCCCTTTGTTCCACGGCTTACTCCTACACCTCCCAAGCCAATGCAACCCGCTTTGGCGTCATTTCTGGATGGGCTAGTGGGGATACGGGATACGGGAACCGTCCACTGAAAGCGTTGTGATAACACCGGCAAGCGAACAAGGCAAATCAGGACGAGAGTCACGTCATGATGCGATTGGCTCAGGATGCGTTTCAAGACTTCTACCTAGCGCCCTCTTTCCTGCAGCCTGTGTGGAACATGTATGAAATATAAGAGATCAGAGATCATGAAACACATGGAACGTATCATTATGATGCTGTCTTAAGCGCGGGGGGCGGGGAACTGCGCAAGCAGAAAAGAGTTTTCTGTTGCACTATTCTCGTGAACGCAGCAAAGTTATCGCGATGAAACCCGACCGACCTCGGATCGGACGGGCGCTACAAATGTCTGATCTAACACTCTGGTCCCAGAAAAAAAGTTTGAGCATTCGAAGATTACAAGAAAGACAAAAAAGGCCTTGGGTTGGCGGCGGGAGCCAAAACGGAGCAGCTACAGAGAAGCTGTTCGGCACCGCGATGCAATTTCCCAAAACAGTGCAAGCACGACGGAGCACATACCCCCAAGGGGCGAAGCGCGATTATCCACGCGCCCACGCACCGAGAGGGTTGGGGTCCACGACGGGGCCCGCTAGTTTACATCATTCATGCGCACGCACCCCCATGCTGTCTTAAGCGCGGGGGGCGGGGAACTGCGCAAGCAGTAACGAGTTTTCTGTTGCACTATTCTCGTGAACACAGCAAAGTCATCGCGATGAAACCCGACCGACCTCGGATCGGACGGGCGCTACAAGTGTCTGATCTAACACTCTGGTCCCATGGCATCCCCAAAACAGGATGTTCGCTCAAACATTGAAGAAGAGGGACCTGGCCTGAGACACAAGCGTCCTCGCGAGCGCTCTA